ACAATCAGTCTAGCCCTCTGGATTTTGATCCAAGTTGATAAGATTTGAGCCCTGCAGGCCACTGGTGTGTGTGGTGGTGGTCATGAAGGGTCGAGCCAACCTTGAACTCATCATACTTGCCCAGTGTGTCACGCAGACAAAGCAATTATTCCTACTTTCCTATTTGTGAGTTCACCAGAGCTGGCATCTCAATCCACATTCCATAGACGGGAAAGCTGAGGCTGGGAGAGAAGGGACTTGTCCGAGGTCCCGGAGAAAGCAAATTAGTCAATGCTGGAGGGGAATGCAGAATGACAGCTGTGTACCACCCTGGTGCTAACTGGAGCCCAAGACTGAATGACACAGCCCTGGTGACCCACAGGGCTTGGTTTAGGGAAATGCCGTATTTTCCAGAACCCACAGCTGGTGTGGGGACAGCTTTGCCAGAACTTACTTCCCTCTAGACACTTGCCCAAGGCTCTCCCAGGAGCTTCTCTGTTCTTGCAAAAGGTGCAGGTTTCCTGGGAACTTGTCTGGGAGCATCAGGCTTTGTCCCTTCCCAGGATAATGCCTCTCTGGGTAAGCCAGGACCATAAGCGCAAACATTTCCTTGGATCCCAAGGATGACTCCAAAATAAATTATTTCAGACTTAATAGGGGCTGCTTAATAAATTCTGTTCTTCTGGTTTCTTTGGGTATTTTAGAAACTGATTTATACATATAATATCTCTCTCAAAATGAGACAATCAACACAGGATAAAATTATTGAGTTATGAAAATAGGGGTCAGATGGAGGTGCAGTGCTTTAAATTAAACCAGCAAAAGGTATCTTTCATACTAAATTGACTCTTTTTGTCTTGGAAATGAATGTTTAATCAGTTAAGACGCTGAAGTTGAGAGAGAAGCCTCAAGCATATTTAATTTTGTAAAAGGGGCCCATTTCCTACATTGTATAGGATCCCTGCCCGCAGCCATACCTTTAAAGCAGAAGGGCTGACTGCCATGTATGACAGGAGGCTGCCATAGGCCGGCACAGGGGACCAGAAGGAATCAGTGGCCTCTGGGATAAAACCCAAGGGAGCCTGGCATTAGTGAGATAGTTGTCAAATGCCCTGGCCTTGCCCTACCCCCCAGGGACAATATCCTTGACACATCTCAGTCTGTGCAAATAGCATCTGTATCATCCTGACCAGCAGGGCATCCTCTGTCCCACCTGTGGCCCTACAGCCCAGCCGCTCCATCCCTTGGGCACCTGGCAATACTGAGAGGTATATGGTAAGGGACAGAGCTGGGTTTGAGTTCTGGTTTCATTTCTTAATAGCTGTGTGCCATTCATTCATAAAATACTTATGGAACCTACTATGTGTCACTTCCTAAAGGAGTTTCTTCTCGGTACACACAGCACCATTCACTAATCCTATCAGAGCATTTACTGCAGTTTCAGAAATGGAGCCCTCACCTGTCTCTCTATCTGCACCAGGAGTTCCTCAAAGGATATCTCATAGATCCAGGGCTCAGAACGATGCCTGGTACCCAGTAGATGCTAAAGGCTGCTGCTGTGCAGCTGATCACTGGAGGAGGTTGAAAAGTGGCCCCTAAATTTAGCAGGTCCTAATCCCTGAAACTTGTAAATGTTACTGTACTGGTGGAGAAAAGAGTCTTTGCAGGTGTGATTTCAGTTAAGACTGTTGAGATGGGGGGGGATGATCCTGGATTATCCCTAATGCCCTAAGTGCCATCACAAGTGTCCTTATAAGAAAGGCAGAGGGAGATTTCAAGGCCAGGAGAGAAGGTGTGAATACAAGCAGAGATTGGAGTGATGTGGCCACAAGCCAAGGATGGTTGGCAACCACTAGCAGCTAGAGAAGCAAGGGACAGATCCTCCCCAGAGCTTCTGGAACAAGCTCATCCCTCCTGAAAACTTGATCTCAGCCCAGTGATCCTCATGTCACTTTCTAACCTCCAGAGCTGAGAGAGAAACAACTTCTGGTTGTTTTAAGCCACCAAGTCTGCGGCAGTTAGAGTAGCCACAGGAAACTAAGAGAATCACCTACCTGCTCTGAGGCCCCATTTCCTCCTCCCAGTGATACCTGCCTCACTCGCTGGCTGGGAGCATGGTGTGAGAAGATGCTTGCAAAGTCTTCTGCATGGTGCTCGACACCTGGCAGGCGATGAGCCCAATGCCAACACCACCATGCAATGTGCACCTTCACACGCACACAGACACACACCTGCATCCTGCAGCTTGCACATACTTTTAAAATTTGTCTTAAGGGCACCTGTCTCTCTTTGCCAGATAATCCCAATGGATGGACACATTCCAACCCACTTTCCCAGTTAGTCCAGTAGCCATCCCCTGGGTAACATGGTTTGGCTTATCTGTCATTACATAACGAAGGGATATAAAACTCAGTGAACCCTTGAAAACTCTAATGGAAGAATTAAAGCTATCTGAACTCGTGAAGCATTTTTAACCTGAGCTAGTTTTAAGGAAATCTGGAAAATGACCACAAAGTGCCTATTTGGAGCGAGCCCAACAAAAGCATTTCCTAAGAGGAGTGATCAGGGGGTCATCTTTGATAAACAGATGACATCCTTTATAATTAGCAGAGTGATTACAACCAGGTGGCCTGACAAAGATGCCTGAGAGTATCTGCAAGCTGTTCCTTTAGGTAAATGAGACTTGTGGGAAAACACCGCCATTTGGTTATAGTGGGAATTCACTTTTATAACTAATATTAACAATAGCGAACATTCCCTGATTGTTTACCCTCTGCCAGACATTTGCTAAGACTTTACATACATTATCTCCGACACGCTTCACCGCCACCTCAAGGTGGGTACTGACTCCAGGGAAACTGAAGCTCCGAAAGTGGAATCAGGATCTAACAACACAGGAACGGAGGAGGCCCGTGGGACGCCAGAGCCACACACTAGCCACAACCCTCCACTGACTGCCAGGGACCAAAGGCCAGTGACCGTGTGGCTCAGGGCCGCAGCCATCCTCCTCCCTGCATTCACCAGCCTCCCAGAGGCACACACCAGAGGTGCCTGCCAGGCCCCACCCTTGCTCGTGTCCCCATAAATCCCAAACTTCGACAGTCTGGACGATTGAAGTTTTGGTAGGAAATTTGCTGGGCAAGCGGCTAAGGTATAAACATTCTAAAAAAGTGGAATTAAAACCATATGGCTGTGCAATCTTCAAGTCTCTTAGAGAGAGAAGAGGAAGCTGAGAACATATATTATTGATAGACCCCAAGGAAAGTAGTCCTGAAGAAATGGAGCATCAATTTCCCCAGAGCACTTTAGTCAGACCTCAAACATTATAAAAGGTGAAGCTTGAGTTGGCTTCCTCCACCCCTTCCCTCTCTTCTCTCCTTTTATTTTTCACCTAGATTTTTTTTTAAGGTAATGTGGCTCACAAAAACACATAGAATACGCTCATTTTTTTTAAGCAAGGATATTTGTTGGTAATAAGAATAAATAATAATAAAAATTATATAAATAAAATACAGCCAAAATTGTTAGAATATAAACTATATGCCCAAAGGTCCCAGGTCTCTGCCAGAACTGGGTCACGAATTTGCCTGTGGCTTCTGAGCAGCTTCTGCAGAGATAAACATGATCCACCCAAGACACGTGGAATTCTGATAAGAAAACAATTACATGGTCCACAGGTCCACAGTTAAGTGCCACAGGTGTGTTTGTGGCCCAAGCTGAGGAAATCAGTGATTGCTTCTTGCTAGACACAGTGGTTGGTCCAGCCGTAGTCCATTACGGGAATCCTCGGGAGACCCAAGAGGCCACCTGCCAGAGGCGCCAGGGGTGACGCTGGCTGCCCGCCGCCGCCGCGCCTGCTGTGTGGAATGTGGACGGTAGAGGGCCCTAAGGACAAGGACGCGGCTCGGGTTCCTGGATCCAGCTGTACCTGAAGCCCCTCGCCCACCCCTGGGCATGTCAGACTTTTTTTTACTTATGCCTGAGTTTAGTTCCCTTCACTTAGGGATGCAATGAAGAGCTGTGACTAGATATTAACTGTGAGGGAAAAAGCAATAATAAACACAAATCACAATTATTCAGGGGAAGTACTGGATTCCCCTTAAGGAACTTTTTCTATTATACAAAAAATGCTCTACTGGTTGGTCTTCCATAAATCTTGATTGTTCAAAGCAGCTGTTAGGCTAAATCATACTTGTCTTTAGCATAGGTTTCAGGACCCTTAGAACCCAAGCCCAGCAGTGTTTTCACCTCATCTCTCCCTCCTTGGCTCCAGGCCCTTTCTCTCCTGCCCAATAGAAAAATGACCCATGTGGCTTTCCCAAGTATGACATGAGTCCTGCTTCCCGCTTTTGTACATGCTGTTCCCCAGCCTGGAAGGTCCTTTCCCGTCCTAGTCTCCTGCCGAATTTCTACCTATTCTGAAAAATTTAACTCAGCAATCACCCCCTTCCCTGGCAGCTAAACAAGGCACAATATTCTAAAAAATTAGATGATTCTATTTATGTGGAATGTTCAGAATAGGCAAATATGTAGAGACAGAAAGTAGATGAGTGGTTGCCTAGGGCTAGGGGTGGTGGAGGGTGGGGAGTGATGGCCAAGGGGTATAGGCTTTCTTTTGGGGATGATGAAATGTTCTCAAACGGATTGTGTTGATGGTCACACAACTCTGTGAATATATTAAGAGCTACTGAGTTGTATGCTTTAAGTGGGGGGATTGTATGGTATGTGAATTATTTAACAAAGCCATTAAAACATAAACATAAAGATTAGATTATAATATTAAAAATAATGACAGAAATAATACCAAGACACTGTAAACAGCTCCAGAAGTAAGCAATGTAAAGATACAAATTTCCCTCCATGCCCACCTCCATATTCTGCAGACCCCCATGCAAGTAACCAGCTGAACCCAGACCCTGCACATGTACAAATGGTCCTCATCAAGACACTGGCATTCTGCTCCTCTCTTAACCCCTTCCCTGCCATAATCAGTGGGAACCATGGAGGTGACAAGGACTCACCGTGGGTAGTTGGCCTGACAGCAGGTGGCTGTCTTGGGCCAGCATGTTGGACACCATGATGGCTGGGAGGTCCATGGCCTGGTAGGAGTAGGCTGGGAGCAGTCCGTTGGGTGTGAGGCCGTGGCACAGTGAGTGGTAGCCGGCTTCGTGGTCCCCCAGGTGCAGGAGGGATGGCTCAGGGAGGTTGGGAGGAGTTATTGGGGGGATCTCATAGTCTTCGTTGCTCTCGTTCTGGCTGTTGTAGGTCTAAAACATCAAAAGAACAAGTTGTTGGAGGTCAGTCAGTGTCTTATAACTGCCTGACATCCTGGGAAGCACCAATATAGCAACAACGATTATAACCTCTTGGCAAAGCACGGAAGAGATGATCCCTCTGCAGGAGAGATGGTCAAGATGGCCCCAGGACCCAGCCAGATGACTCCCCATCCCCACATTGTGTCCCTTCCCACTAGAAGAAGATCTATATATAAAAAAATGCTATATATAAAAAACAGTGGAGCCAGTTCCTATTCAACTGTTTTCTGTTTTCCCATGAGATCTGGCCACTGCTGTCCACCAGAATCCACCTCCCCACACCCACCCACTTCAGATGAGAGACCTCAGGTCCGAGAGGACAGTGGCCCATCCAAGGTCAGCTAAACAGTTGGGAGTGGAGCAGAAGCATCCTGATGCTCTGCCTGGTGGTCTTCCAGGGCAGCTGGACAACTTTCTCTTGGGTGTTCCCAACACCCAGCCCAACCAGGTCCTCTCCTGGTCTTTCTTGTTTTGGTAAATGGTACAAACATCCCCCCAGGAACACAAATAGAAGCCATACTGGACACCTTCCTTTCTGATCCTGGTTGTTCATTTTTTCCCACCTCACTGCACTGACCAGGAAGCTCCAAGACAATGTTGCATAGAAATAGTGAGACCCCTTGCTTTTTCCTTATCTTAAATATCTTAATGTTTTACCACTAAGTTCAGTGTTTACCGTACATTCATGCAGGCATTCTATAACAGGTTGAGGGCTTTCTAGTTTGTCAAGATGGTATTTATTTTTCTTGTCATTGTGCATGGATTTTTAATTTTATTGAACTCTTTTTCCCTCCATCTACTGAAAGGCTCAAATGACTTTTCTCCTTGAATTCAGTTAATCTGATAAATTGCTTCACTTGATATTTCTAATGTTAAAACAACTTTGTGTTTATGGAATAAACCCTACTTGGTTAAGATGTATTGTTATTTTTATGCACTATTGGATTTTGAATGCTGATATTTTGTTCAGGACTTTTGCCTCTAAGTCATGAGTGAGATTGGCCTGTAATATTCCTTTTTCACACTGTCTTTTTTAAATTTTGATATCAAGCCAGGGGAATCATTCCTCCTTTTCTGGATTTTGAAACAGATTACACCTAGAAGAAGAAATTGGAAGGTGAACCCGAGAAGACATGGAAGAGAAGCTGTGAGACACAGAGGACAACGTAAAGGTGTCTAAAGGACGTCTGTTCAGTCAGCATGAATTCTGAAGGAAGAAAAGTGGGAGAGCAGGGAGAGGAATAGGTGAAGAAATCATGGCTGGGAATATTCCAGAACTAATGAAGGACACCAAAGGTTTTGGTGACTATAATTGTAAGTATTACAATGATCATAATATATAATGTGTAAAGGGGGGGAAACTCAAGAATTCACAATAGCATATGAGAAATAGCATCTAACATCCTTGTATTCTTTAATAAATTGAGTATGTGTGTTAAAAGAGCCAGGGTACTTGAAGCCAATACAATACCTGGTCCTTGACAGGCTGGCTCTCTGTACACGTTTGTTGGATGGGGTCACTGGGTGGTGGGTACGGAGGGGACAGGAGGAGAGCGATGGTGAGAGCAGGGGGCACATGGTATCTGAACACCAGCTGGCATCAAGGCCTTTCTCCTCAGACGAGGTACCCCATCACAATTCCCTGGGGAAGAGGCCAGGCCTGTCCTGTGTATCTACAGAAACATGCTCTGAGAGGGTGTGCACCTTGCCACATGCCCACACCTTGGACACTTGCTCACTGGCTCCCTCTGCAGGGCTGTTGTGGGATTATTTCCCACACGGATAAACTGCAGTCCAGGAAGAGGGGACTGTGCTGGTGGCAAAGGGCATTTGGAGCCATAAGAAATAGGAGCCAGTCTTCTGACCCCAGGGTCTGGCTCTTTCCTACCATGTAAAGGTGCTTCCAAGAGCTGGACCAGGATTCAGGAGACTTGGGCCAGAGAAGGTGTGCACAGGTTTGGGGACTAACCCCTGCCCTGCTGCATCATACGCACATCCCCAAGTTATATCTCTCTTACTGTCTGATCTTAGCTGGTCATTGCCCCTCTCTGGGGTCCATTTCCCCATCTGCATAAAGGGGGAGGGAGGATGGCTTCATCCATCTCTCAAGTTCCATGGCTAAGTATATTAGCTACTCAAGCAACATCCGTGGCATTTGAATCTAATTCGGACCTATACCTGGTGCCTGGGTGTAAGAATGGCCAGGAGAGGGGACCCAAGGAAGACACAGTCCTTCCTGAGCAGGCACGCATAGGTGGAAACAACATCCCGGTAGGTCTCAGCTCTGCTAGAAACAGTTTCCTTGAACATTGTGCAAGACGCAAGCATTTAACAAACATTTAATGTATTTAATTCTTACAACAACCCTATGAAGAAGGTTCTGTTATTATATGCCCATTTTACAGATGTAGAAACTAAGGCACAGAAAGGGTAATTCATTTGCCTGAAAGTTCCACAGACAGAGGTCTTACTCTGGTTACTGCCTCCTCCCCCAGTTTGCACTGTGTCCAAAGGAAGGCAATGTTACCTGTGGCAAGGATGCTGGGACTCTGGGGCCTCATACCCTTAGAGGCAGTGCTAAGTCGTGGCTAACTTGAAGGCTTGTGTACCAAGAAACAGGCTTTGGTCTGGCCTTATTATTGATGAGCTTGGGAAAGTAACTCCTCCCTCTAAATTGTGAAGACTGAAAGCACATTTTCTTACGCAGGACCCTGATTAATCCTCTTCCTTACTGTTGCTTACCTAGAAAAACAACCCCTATGACTAGTTACTGAAAATAGTTACCAATCACCCATTATATGCTGGGTGTGTTATATGCACATCATACCTAATTTTTTTTCTAATTTCTTTTTTCTTCATAATTTCCTGGGTTTGTAATATAGAACTGGTGTGTGTCCTTAGTACCCAGGTGTGTCTCTAAGGACCTCTTATGTCTCCCTAATTACAAACATGTGTCTAGGATGTTCTGGGATGTCTCCCCAATTTCCTAAGTGTGTGTAAGCTGACCCGGGGTGTCTCCCTGATTCTCCAGATGAGTCTATCCTGATATAAATGTCTAATTCCCAGGTAGGTCCATCCTGAACTACTTTTCCCAGCTTTATTAAGACATAACTGACAATAACTAATCTCTTATTCTTAAAAGAATGCTGTGTTTATTCCCATTTGACAAATGAGAAAATTGAAATTAGAGGCTTTACCCAGGTTACACCACTAGGAAGTCACTGAGTCTGATCCACTTTTCTCCTGCTTCTGTGACAACAGCAATCTCTTCCCCTCCCCTCCGAGTCTCTGCCCACTCTCCTCCCAGTGCCCACCTCCCAAATAAACACATTCTGAACCCTCCCTGCTTAAAAACTAGTACCTCTCTACTAAAGGGAGAGAGAGAACCCTCCAAACATCTTAACATGGCACCCAAGGTAATATGCTTTTCAAATAAAATGCTTTTCAGATTGTATTTTGATGCATTTTGGTATATATATGTGGGTGTTAATGTAATTTCTGCCTTAAGTGCATCTCTTCCAAGACAAGGTTCCCCTAAGTCAAATGGTGTAATTTCACGGTTAAGGATATGAGAGGTGCAGGATCTGGTGGAGGGAGATCGCTGTGGGGCAGCAGAGGTAAAGGAGAGGAGGGCCCCAAGTAGTCAGAAACAGGTGGTGGACAGGAAGCGCTCCGGCCCTCGATGCTTGGCACCTGGCTAGTAAATTCCCCACCCCAGACATGAGTCCCACTGTCACCCCCCTGCACCTCCCAAGGAGAGCTGAGCAGGGCTCTTGCCAAATTCACCAGAAATCCTTCTCCCCAGCTCTGTGTGGGGTCTTCCCCCCACTGGGAGCCACTCCCCCACAGCGTGTTCATTTCCATGATGATTCTCTCGCCCTCTTTCCTCAGTCCTCTAGCTCCCGCTCTGCCCCTTCACCCTTTGCAGATAACCAGTCACCTTCTACTTCAAAGGAAAATGGAAAATAGCTCCAACAACATCCTGACACCAGAACCACAAACTTGCCCACTTGGCACCAGCATGCCTCCTGTTCTGATGCCAGAAGAGCAGGAGTGTCCAGGCTCCCTGCCTGTGTGCGGAATGACCCCACCACCCTCGCGTTCTCCTCTACCCCAAGGACCCAGGTCACCCCTTCATTACTTAACCTCTCTGTGTCCTCATCTACCCTCACAGTTTCCTCACCTGAGCAAAGACAGTAATAGCAGTATGTACCTCAGGGTTGCTGTGGAGTAAAGCCATCCACATAAATGCTCGGGCCACTGCCTGAAATATAGTCGGTGCTCTCAGCGCCCCTTGTTATTGCTGTTGTCAGCCTTGCCTGGAGTTTCAGAGACACTAAGGAACTCCTCCAAGGGCACAGAACCAGCAACCAGCAGCTCATGTGCTCAGTATCCTCACTGGCTTTCCCCACAATGAGTGTTCCTAACTCCTCACTCCACAGGGAAGCACACTGGGTGGGGAGCGATAGCTGTTCTCAGCCTGACCACCGAGACAGGCTGGGGCTGATTGTTTGCAGGTGGGACTCCCACCTGTGTCATATCATCCCAGAAAGCAGAGTTCCAGGAAGACCCCAGGCCCTGGCCACCCTACATCACGACTTCCCTCCTCTCATTTCCACTCCACAGTCCCTGGTATGTGCTCCGGACAGGACACCATGACCTGCAATTATTTTTTATTTTTTACATGCCTTTTCTTTGTGTTACCTTCCCCCCAGATCCCAGGCCCCAGGAAAGCAGGGATAAGCCTTGCTTGTCACCAGTGCCCAGCCCTATCTATGCCTGGCACATAATAGGTGCTCAGTTACAATGCAATGAAAGAGCACAAGAGACAGGCCACATGCTAAGTGTTGGATGTGGGCCTGTTTTGCTAAGGGGTTTCAGCCCTGGGCAAGTTCACTATGGATTCAATGTGACCAGAGAAATTGACAGCAAAACGTTCTTTGGGGTGAAAG